TGGAAATGTTAATTACATTAGAGGAATAAGAGGAACAAAATGTAATGAAGGATAATTTAAGCGCTATAGCAGTCTATCGATTTTCTCTGATCTGTTGTCGAAAGTCTAATCTGCAATTACATTCATCATCACATAATTTTCGCTGTAAAAAGTCGACTTCTATTTACACCCTACACCACATAGCGGTAATAGTAGTGGTAAAATATTATTTTCCAAATAATATTTGTTTGGCCCAAGGACGAACCCTATTAAAATTGGTGGGAATCGGTTCAAATTTAGATATTGCTCTCACATAAAACTTCTACCGATTTTGGGTTAATGCCTAATGTCAGTCCAACTGACCTAAACTTTGACAATTCCGACTGAATTCAGTCTGGAAACAAGTACTTAAAATTTGGTGAGAATCGGTCAAAATATCGGCATATATGTTTCATCCCTTACATGCGTAATATACCCCACAGCAATGATAATTGATACCAGACATCAGATACAGCTCGAAAATGTCAAATTTTATCGAGATCGGTTAATATTTTTATATGGCTTCGATATACATCTTCATCCGATTTCACGGTTATTGTCCACCATATACAGGGTAATATAAAAAAAAAACTGCAACAAAGTCACACGCCATATTTTTTTCATATTTTATTGAATGAAAGCAAAAAATGTCAAAAATAGCATCAAATTATAGAAGAAGTTTAGATTTGTTCGAATTGGTCATCTTTGGCACAAATTATGGCCTTCAAACGGTCAATGAAAACGTCACACGCTGCCCGAATGTTGCTTTGCGGTATTTAGGTCCATTCCTGGCGAAGCGCTTGCTTGAGGTGGTATTTTTTTGGTGCCAACCTTGCTTTCCAAAATACACTAGACACAATAGTCCAACGGATTGGGTATCCGGTGATTTTGTGCGTTGGAAATGAAGCGAGGAACCTCATCTTGTAACCATTATTGGGTGGCGCGTGTTGAGTGCTGGGAGCTGAGTCCTGTTGGAATGTCCAAGGTCTGCGGTCAAAATGTTTGCGTACCCAAGGCTTTAATACACCCTCCAGAATATTTTCGCGATAATATTCGGCATTTATTCGGATGCCACGGTCAATTAATACGAGCGACCATCGGCTGTTATGGCAACCCACACCATCACCATGGCCGGCGCTAGAGTTCTGGTGGCCAACCGAAGGTGCACATTTTCAACTGACTTATTTGGCAAGTAAACACGATCATTTTTTTGTTTACAACTGCTGAACAACGAATGGTTTCTCATCGGAGAAGACCAAATTCGGCAGTTCACCACTTTCGGCCAAGCGAAGCAACTCTTTAGCTCTTTTGAATCTATTTTGGTAAGCTGAAGGTGGTTGCAGTTTTTTCATCTCACCCTTAATAGAGGTACAAAAACCTCCGTAAAATTTGTTGAAAACCGATTCAGAGTTGGATATAGTTCCCAAATTGTTACTACTCTAAAACCACGATACGCATCCAAATGAAGTTCATAGTTAGTATGATCTACTTCACATAAATTCCCAATATAAACATATTTGTTACGGGAGCCCTACTAAATATACGTAGGAGTGTAGGGTATCATATAGTCGGCCTCGCCCGACTTTTGACCTTTCCCTACTAATTTTAGACTTATCAATGCCAAAAAACCTACTTATCGATTAATTGAAAGTCCAGTAATGTATCCCCAGCTACAAAGATGGCCAAAACCTGCTAAAAAGTAGAACATTGCAAAGTATCTTAAAGTCCCCACATTCTAATGCTTTGATCATCGTATTTATTCAGTTTCCTGGGAAAATGCAGTAACGAACTTAAAAACTAGTCAAAGGACAAATCAATTCGAAATACGCGCTGAAGTATCAAAAACCATTTACATCATTTTTTTAACAAAGCAAAACTGTTTCAAATTATTTTAATTAATTTACAATATTTTCTATAGATACTAAGTATGAAAAATTAGGTTTTTCGTCCCTGGGGTGCAATACTCACACAAAAATATCAAAGACAAACTTACCTTGAAAATCCATATGAGAAACACCTAGGATTTTCTCTCACACAAAAGAGAGAGAGCTTTTGCCACGACATAGATCAAACGTCGACGTTGGCAGAGTTGACGACTGAACAGATTACGAATACGAACAACACAAACAAATGGCAATGTATAACTGCGACAAACCACACATTATCAGCCTGTTCCACGATGTCGAAAGAACACGTTCGCACAACTTTTACACGACAAACAGCTGATTTCCGTTCCACTAAAATCCATCAGAACGAAAATTTGCACGAAAATCAAAGCGAACGAAAACGTAAGCGTTTCAGTGTAATTTTGCGTTCCACTATCTTTTTTCTTTCGTACGCATGCGAACACAAATGTCAAAATCAGTCACTTGTGTGTTTGCTGTCGAATGATAAAAATTAAGGAAAATTGTTTTAACATAAACATTCCTTGATTGAAAATGGAAAGAAAAATGTAAGTAAAAATAATAAATGCAATTTACAGCCTGTTCCACGATCTCGAAAGAAAATTTGTGCGAACGAAGGCTACTCACTCACTTTCGCATAAGAATGCGTTCCACTAACTTTCGTTCTTTCTTTCGCATAGCCTTACGTGATTCAGTGTTGCAAAATATTTTTTGGCAAAATTAATCGCGAAATAAGGCAAAAAAAAGCGCCAAATGTCTAATTTAAACGCGAAAAAGCAGCAGTGGCTCTGTCTCAACTGACAGTTCAGTTGTAAACAAACAAATTGTAAATAAACAAACAAAATAAAATTTCTAGTGATTGAGTTCAGATTATTTGTGTTCTTAAAAAAGAAAAAAATGAATATTTCTGTGGCCCTGTTTTTTATGGATGATGAGGAGGAGGTACAAAATGTGCCACGGAGGCATTTAAGAGATGCTTCGAATTTATTTGAAGTACCTAACAACCAGTAAGTATGATTGTATTTTTACATTTTTGAAGTAATAAAAAATGATTTTTTCTAGGTTTGTGGCCAATTTTCGTGTGTCGAAGGAAGTTTTTCGGGCTCTTTTGGATATGATGGAAGAGAAGTGGGTGGCCGGTTGCAGAACTACCCAAATCCGCCCCGATTTAAAACTTGGCACATTCTTGCGGTTTTTGGCAACAGGAAGCTACCAACAGAATCTAGGGAACGAAGCCTTGACTTCAACAGCGAAGTCGACAGTGAGCAGAACCATTGCGGAATGTCTGCAGATTTTTGAGGACCACATTTGCGGCCAATGGATAAAAAAGCCGACACTTACAGAGGAACGCAACACAATGGAGGCTTTCTATGAAAGAACAATGTTCCCTGGAATTGTTGGATGCGTTGATGGCACGCATATCCGCATCAAGTCACCAGGGGACGAATTGAAAGCCCTTTACTATAATAGAAAGGGTTATTATAGTATAAATGCAATGGTGGTAAGTAAATACATTTATCGTAAAGCGATTTTAAAATTATTGTGTTTTTTCGAATTAGATATGTGACCATAAAATGCGTATAACATTTGTCGACGCTAGACATCCCGGAAGCAACCATGATGCATTTGTATGGGAAAGGAGTGATCCAGACAAGTGTATGCAAAGGGAGTTTGACAATGGAAAACGAAACTTTTGGATTCTCGGTGAGTAATGTGTACACATCTTATATCATAATACATCAATTACATTTGTGTTTTCTTTTTTATAGGGGATGGAGGATACAAATTGAAGCCCTTTCTTATGACGCCTTACCGCAGCCCTAGAGATGTCGCCGAGAAAAAATTCAATAAGAGACATGCTAGTGCGCGTAACGTCATTGAAAGGTGCTTTGGGGTCCTAAAAAACAGATTCCGATGTATCATCGGATCTCGGGGCCTTCATTATGACGCTGCAAAGGTAGTGCAAATTATAAATGCATGTTGTGCGCTGCACAACATGTGCATACACTACCGATCTGAAGAGCCGCCAGGTGATGTTATTGATGATGATCTGGAAGACGAAGTGGATGACAATAATGATCTTGAAAGCAGAGCTGACGCAATAAGGAGAAAAATTGCAATAAATCTGTAAAATTAAAAGAATTTTTTATTAAAATAAAATAATATAAATTAAAAATTAAAAAATTAGTTTAAATTATTATAAAAGGACTATAGTGAATTGTTTTGCAAAAAAGTTGATAGAATTGCTTCTATAGACTTAAGCATTTTTGTTTGGGCCTCGGCACAATCTGCCATTCTCTCTGCAGCGTCAGCCATCCTTTTGCTTGCATCTGCTTGCTCCTTGGCTATTGCATTTGCCTGCTCGACCAGCCGCAATTGCCGACGGATAAGAGGTATTTGCTCTCCGACGTTGGAACGTTTTTTTGCTGATGATGTGGATGGAAAATTATGTTGTGATGTGCATTTGAATGGGGGTGATTTCTGCACGGTTTGATGTTCCATGTGTTGACGAGGGGACGTTGTTTGTTTACGTTGGTGTTGCTGTTGGGTCTGTGTTTGTTGTGTGTGTGCTGACTGTGTCTGAGTTTGTTGTGTGTGTGCTGACTGTGCCTGTTGTTTTGCAGTTTGTGTGTAGAAATGGGGTGAGATTTTTTGTCTTTTGGCTGGTGGTTGGTATTGTTGAGTTGTGATGGTACAGGTTTTTACGTTTATTTGTTGTTGTTGGGTATGTGATTCTGGGGAACTGAACTGTCTGGTAGGTGTTACCACTGCTACGGTCTTGGATGGTCTTGATGGTGTGGTATCCAATGCCTCGAAGCAGTAATCTATTTCGTCCGCGTAGCCAAAAGTTTTACCACTTGGTGCTGCGGACTTCGACAAGAAGAGTGTCCGGTCAATTGCTGTTTCCAGCTCCGTTAGGCACTCAAACCGGTATAAACCACCACCGGTACCTTGCAGCCCTTTTTTATTTTCTGCAATTTTCTTTTTGGTGCGGGACTTTAGATCGGCCCACGTCTGTAAATAGTAATGCCGGTCAGACAAATAGATCGTAAGCCGAGTTTTCTGACTTACCTTTTTCCATTCTGCAATTGTGCGGGAAGGAGGACCCATGGTATTTAATTTAAAAACTAACTTCTTCCAGTGGTCCTCCAGGGATTGCCTGCTGCTTCCAAAAATTGGCACTCCTCTGGCAAACTCGGGATTCTCCTCCATATACTCAACTAGTGCCCGCAGCTGTGTAGTTGATGATTTTTTCGTGCTGGAATTGAGAAAATAAAAAAATATATTTATTGTTCCCATAATAAATTGGATTTATTATTTTTACTTACATTTTTGTTTCCATTTTCAATTAAGCAATGTTTATGTTTTAAAACAGATTTTCCTTAATTGTTATCGTACGACAGCAAACACACAAGTGACTGATTTTGACATTTGTGTTCGCATGCGTACGAAAGAAAAAAGATAGTGGAACGCAAAATTACACTGAAACGCTTACGTTTTCGTTCGCATTGATTTTCGTGCAAATTTTCGTTCTGATGGATTTTAGTGGAACGGAAATCAGCTGTTTGTCGTGTAAAAGTTGTGCGAACGTGTTCTTTCGATATCGTGGAACAGGCTGTTAATCTGTGAACAACAAATATATATTTTTTTATTTTCTCAATTCCAGCACGAAAAAACTACACAGCTGCGGGCACTAGTTGAGTATATGGGGGAGAATCCTAAGTTCGCCAGAGGAGTGCCAATTTTTGGAAGCAGCAGGCAATCCCATGAAGACCACTGGAAGACACAAACCTAGAAAAAATCATTTTTTTATTATTTTAAAAATGTAAAAATACAATCATACTTACTGGTTGTTAGGTACTTTAAATAAATTCGAAGCATCTCTTAAATGCCTCCGTGGCACAATTTGAACCTCCTCCTCATCATCCATAAAAAATAGGGCTACAGAAATATTCATTTTTTTTTTCTTTTTTAAGAACACAAATAATCTGAACACAATCACTAGAAATTTTATTTTGTTTGTTTATTTACAATTTGTTTGTTTACAACTGAACTGTCAGTTGAGACAGAGCCAATGCTGCTTTTTCGCGTTTATATTAGACATTTGGCGCTTTTTTTTGCCTTATTTCGCGATTAATTTTGCCAAAAAATATTTTGCAACACTGAATCACGTAAGGTTATGCGAAAGAAAGAACGAAAGTTAGTGGAACGCATTCTTATGCGAAAGTGAGTGAGTAGCCTTCGTTCGCACAAATTTTCTTTCGAGATCGTGGAACAGGCTGTATATAACACAGCAAAGTATAGTTCTTTTAATGTTACTATATAAAATATGCTTTACCACTATATAAAATATGCAAAACGAACACAACGTCGAGTGTTTAACAATTATAATTCACAAAACATTAAACAAATACCGATATTGCACAAAACACGGCACGAGCAAAAGTTTCAATAACCCGTTGCGAAGAGAGCACAAGACAAACTGAACGTAAATAAAGTAATAGAGTTTCCAAGTCGTTTGAATTAAGAGATCTTCCTTAATCCAACTAATAGTCCAGTTAGATTGGTTATTTTAAATCGACTCGATTTCTAAGTCAAATTTGTTTAGACTTGTTTAATATTATAAAATTACATACTCTCACGTAAACAAAGGCCTGCTGACTGAATTTTTATGTACATAAGAATTTTTTGTTTACATAAGAATTTGCATATATAATTATTCGAAAATTAATCAGTAAGGAAAGGTCAAAAGTCAGGCGGTGCCGAATATATGATACCCTTCACCACTATGCGTATTTAGTAGACCTTACGTAACAAAAAAGTTTATATTGGGAATTTATGTGAAGTAGATCATACCATGGTAGAATAAAAAGGTAAGGTAGAGCTATCAGCTGATTACATTTTTTTCTAAGTGTGCCCGTCTTCTGCCAATTTTTTGTATGTATTTGTTGTTTTGAAAAATGAAAACAAAATATTTTCAAAACCAATGATTGGAAGACATGTAGATTGCGGCTCGCGCATTAAAGCCATTAACCAGTTTAGCCATGAAATTGAAAGATTAAACAGTTTGGATTATATTTTCGACGGAATATCCAGACATATCATCCACTTTTGGCGCTATTTGACTCATTTAAAAAGCATATAACTTTGAACGAGTCTGACAGTAAGCGGGCATAGCCTCAGGGCTGTATTTCTCTAGTTTTACGAAGCTGTTCTACCTCCTTATTGTACCATGGATCATACCAACTATGAACCAAATAATATTGCTGTATAGTGCATGATATGACTTCGATAAGGATTATATTAAAAAATATTTATTACAGCAATAGATATACCAAATGGTAAAATTCGGTGGAATATGAATAAATATATTAAATTTATATTACATATATGGTGGACAATAACCGTAAAATAGGATGGAGCTGGATATCGAACCATATGAAATCTAAAACGATCTCGAAAAAATTGTGGTAGAGGAATTTCGAGATGTATCTGATGTCCAGTATCACATATCATTTTTGTGGGATAAACATATACATATATGGGAGCTATAGCTATATCTGAACCGATTTTCAGCAAAATTTCAAGCATTTGCTTTTAGACAAAATTCCGCCGGAAATGCTGAAATTCAGTCCATTTGGTCCGATATTAGCCATTTGGTGCACAAAAGACCTAAAATCGGATAAAAATATATATTGGAGTTATATTCACATCTCGGCCGATCTTGAAAAACTTGTAACACTTATTCCTGAGCTGTGATATCTGGTACCAAAAATTATTGTTGTGGAGTGCATATTACGCATGATGCATTGCATGAAACATATATATAGGAGCTATTTCTATTCTAGGACCGATTTTCTACAAATTTGAAGTACTTCTTTCTAGTAGGAATTCAGTCGGAATGTCCAAAATTCATTCAATTTGGGCTTATATTAGCCATTTGAAGCACAAAAAACTTGATATCGGAAAAAGATATACAGGGTGAGATAAAAAAAACTGCTACAAAGTCAAACGCCATAATTTTTACATTTTTTTAATGTCGGAAATAGCATCAAATTTTAGAATATATTTAGATTTGTTCGAATCGGTCACCTTTGGTACGAATTATGGCCTTCAAACGGCCAATAAAACCGTCACACGCTGCCGAATGTTGGTCTGCGGTATTTTGGGCCATTTCTGGTGAAGCGCTTGCTTGAGGTGATCGACACTTTGGTATTTTTTAGTCCAAACCTTGCTTTCCAAAATATTCCAGACCCAATAATATTCCAGATCGGATTTAATCTGGAGATTTTGGTGGCCATTGTGCTTCCAACGTACAATGGCCACCAATCAAGGAACCTCATTTTGTAATTAGCGTTGGGGAGTCTTGTTGGAATGTCCAAGGTCTGCTGCCAACATGTTTGCGTACCCAATACTTTAATACACCCTCCAAAATATTTTCGCGATAATATTCGGCATTTATTCTACCAGTATCACGGTAACGAACGATGGTACGAGACACAAAAGATTAATTCACATTGAAATACTGCTGATAGTCACTTCTGGTTTTGCAGTCAAATATAAAGAAATCACACTATCCCGCTTGAAATCCACCGCGAATCATTTTTTTTTTTTTTTCTGGAAAATTCTCACCAAAATGCTTTCGTACGCTTGTAAACAATATAATGAGCTATCACTGGAATAATTGTAACTGCTGTCGGACGAGTGGCTTAGAAATTACACCAGTCTAAATTTGATTGCATTTTTTCATCTCACCCTGTATAAAAGAACATTGTGCAACTTGAAACCTTTTTCTCTCCTTTTTTATAATATTGCCGAATTAACAAAGAACCGTGTTCTATTTGTATCGATATAATTTTGACAGCACAAGCCATACATGCTCTATTCCAGTTCCTGCGAGAATCTACTAGTTTTGCAAATTCTTTTTCGATATCATAAAGGGTGAGTCTGTTATGGTAGTAAAAACGTTTAAATTCTTACAGTTCTGGAAGAGACCAACAATTAGACCTCCTATTCAATTTGTGAACGTTTCTATCATTATTCATCAACTTAAATACTATTAGTATTAATTAATCAACCGTGTTCCATATTTCACACCTTTGCCGGTTTTCAACATAATACCGACATTATTCCTATTAAACACTAATTGGCAACTCTTTTTAAACATTTTGTTTAGTTTCTTCTAATTTTTCTTTCAATCGGTTGTGTTTGATCTCAGCGTGTGTCGGTTTCGCGAATTCGGTACTTTCGGTTAATTTAAATTACATTAAAGTGATCAGTGAAATTATAAAATGAATAAAAATATAAATTTTATGCAATATATACAATTTCCTATAAGTTTTATATTAATTTGTTGTTTACGTTCCAAAGTTTTGATGGTTGCAAATTGCAATCATAGAAATTTTAATGCATACACATTTAGAGAGTGAGAGAGCCAAAAGTTTCTCTGTTTTTGTTTTGAGTGTTCTCGGTCGGTAGGAAACGTCGTCGTCGTCGCCATCGATGTATCTCTTTTATGTGCGTTGCTTATGTTTTCGTTATTTTTCGGAATGAACGTAATGCAATCAATAAAGCTTTCAGGGTGCGAATTCAAAGAAATTAACAGGTGAGCTTTCTAATTACATCTCTTTTTTGTTTTGTTATTATTTGATCTGAATTTGTGTTTTCTGGCTTTCTGCCGAAAATGTTGTCAATGCTGAGGGTTTCCACAAATTTGTGATTTTCGAGTTCTTATTTTAATATTGTGTGATTTGTACGTATTTATTTAACATTGATTCTTTTAAATGTTTTTGAAAAGAAATCTGTGGAGCACAAAGGCGAAATTCTTCCTTCAATTTCCGCTTCTATCATTTCGTCGATTTAAATCTGATTTATTTGCAACTCATTTTTAATGTCTATAGTTTTAGAATAACATTATAAGGAACACTACTACTAAACGATTTTTTTTTTATGTGGATATCATTTTAATTCTTATTCAACTAATGGTCACATTATGGGTTCGCAGTTATACCTAAATTATCGATTTTTTGGACGGAATTTTTTAAAAAATTCTCAAAAAGTCGAAAAACGTCCCATTATGGGGTTTTATAAAATTTGTACCAAATTATAGCTGATACCTTTAACCTGTCCAGAATGCTACAATATTTGCGATTATGTTTCTTATATCCAGAGATATGGGTCTTTAAACTCGGACCGTCCAATTCTTTGAAAAGGTTAGAGCATGGGCGGTAATTTACAAGTTCCATCTTTACTTTAGGTTTGTTTAAACCTTGAAAGGGCTCCGACTCCGATAGTGGGAATTTTTAGTGGCAATCCATTGGAATTTTCCACAACTTACAACCTTCATCTTTGTACGGTCCTAGCAATATTTCCCGAAGCTTTTGCATGTAGCTAAAATCTTTGACTTGGGAGGAGTATGAAAACTTCCACCCGGCCGAACTTTCCACTGCTATATTCCCCCAGGGACTTAAAGCCACAGAGGGTATATACATATCATTCGGGTATATACGGTCAAAATATCAGTCGAAATGTCATTTAAAACACTATATATCTTTGGTCGAAATCGGTTTCTGAACAATTGGATCCCGACCGCATGTCCGTTTGGTTGGCATGAGCGATATCTTTCTAATAAAATATTTGAATGTTCCAAATTCTACACATCGCGATGTTTCTATGATGTTAAGCAACTCAAAATTAAACATTTAAAAAAGTTATACTCCTTTTAAAGCGAAGAGCGCATCCTGTATGATTTAAGCTATGCAATATTTATATTTACAAAGCGTCAGAACTTCAAATAATAAATGCCTATGCAATTTTCGTAGAAATTGCACAATTCAGCATTTGAAGTGTGAGATTGGATATTTTAAAACTTCTCATTCTGGTACATACCTTTATGAAAGCGAAGAAATTATCCTACTTAAATGAAACTAATACATCAAAACGTACAGCATAAGATAAAAAACTGCAACAATTCAAACGCCACAATATTTACTTTTTTTTTTAATTTTATTGAATGAAAGCAAAAAATGTCGGAAATAGCATCATATTTAAGAATAAGTTAAGATTTGTTCGAATTGGTCACCTTTGGCACGAATTATGGCCTTCAAACGGCCAATGAAACCAGCACACGCTACCCGAATGTTGCTCTGTGGTATTTTGGCCCGTTTCCGGAGAAGCACTTGTTTGAGGCGATCGACACTTTGGTATTTTTTAGTGCCAACTCTGCTTTTCAAAATACTCCAGACACAATAGTCCAACGGATTGGTATCCGGAGATTTAGG